TTCTTGATACAACGTTTCGCAAGTTCTACACATGCCTCATTTTAATAATCAATTAAGTTATAATATTAAAAAATATTAAATTAAGTGAATTTCGTAGTGTTGAAATGGATGTGTACTTGATTTATGTTGTTTAACTTACGCAGGTGCTTCAAACTTTCTGCACTCACAAGAATAAAAACTTAATATGATTGTCTTCCTAACCCCTAATTTGCGCCGTCCTGCGCAAACATACCAATTAATATATTACGCGTAACGTGATCATTAGGTTCCATTCAATTTATTGTCGTCACGTAAAACAGAACAGTATGATATCCAATTTTTTGTTTTGTTTTTGAAGTTAAATTCCATCATATACCTTTCATAATTTCGTTCGTAATACACTAGACCTAAATTTATCTTTAATTATTGTTTCTTGTAGTGCGTGTTTGCAGTGCAAGAAAGAGATAATAATACCGTTGTTCTCTTTGTCCCTCCGTCCTACTTTTCCTAAAAGCCCTTTCATTCCCTGCGACCTCCAGAACGGCCCTTGCATTTTCTGAACCGCTCGTGCCCTGGGTGGACCCCGGAAAATTCCTAAGCAAACAGCGTAGTTCTCTGCTGCGTCCACAAAAGGAAAAACAACTTCCAGATTCTCTTTCGCGACCATTTGCACCTGCTTTACTTCGATTACTAAGATATTGAGAGTTCTACAGGGAAGGAAAACAGTTTTATTTCAATGCATGTTATATTTTAAGAAATATAATAGCGATAAATATTTTCATATAATATTATGAAATTTGTTTATAATGATCCACTTTGTTACTTGAAATAAAAGATTTTATATAATTTATGAAAAGATTTGATATAGCAAAATGTTTTCAAATTTTAACAATCACATAGCACTTCTTTCTTTTGACTTCTTGAAGTAGATTTGCGTCATACGGTTCTTAAGTTTAGATAAGATCAGGAAAAAATATTTAAAAAAGTAAAATATAATGTTTTGATGCTGTAAGGACCCTTCGTAAGTCTTAGTATCTACTCTAGCAATATCTACTCTATTGTTCATTATGTTGCTTTCTTTTTTTAAATTTTATTTCTTCTTGCTCAGCATTTCTGCCTTTCAAAGGCGTTGATACAAAGTTTATGTAACTTTATAGGCTGGATCATCGTCTGGTCTAAGTGACAATACACTTCTGGCATAGGTATGTTCGATTGACAGGCAACATGAGTTTGGCAAGTATTAGTTGACACTGTTGTATTTGTGTGGCCCACGCAGCCAGCAGGGGTCAACACCCCCTTTAATGTAAAAATAGGTGAGGTTTATGTTTAAGAAATAATTATATGAGTTGTCATTGCCAACATTATTGTTTATTTCAATCTTCCTTTCAAATTATCCACTTCTCAATAATATTACATATTGGAACCGTTACGTAGACATTTTTGTTCTCTGGACCGGTACGACTAGTCAAATCGACCTGTTTACTGACTTCCTCAACAACATACATCCTACTATTCAATTCACCACAGAACTTCAGAAAGAAGACAAATCAATTAATTTCCTAGAACTGAATATCAGCATATCTGAAAGCATACATACTCTCAATATCTTCAGAAAATCGACGTACACAGACACTGTCATCCACAACTCTTCACAACATCCTATTCAACATAAAC